ATTCTGTTAACAATTGAAATATCATAGATATTGATATTGATATTGACATATCAAATATATAGAGGGAACCTTAGAGTTAAAGGCAAGTATTCAATTCCTTAGCAGAATTAAACATGCTAAGAACCCTAGATCAACCATTTTTCAACTTCTAAACACCATGTAGATTTTCTTTGAAATCAAGGTTTCCCCAATGGAAGACTAAAATAACATTTTAGAAGAATTTTCTTTACTGGGGGATTAAAATACAAAGTAAGCAAGCGTGATATACTAATGCTATAAGATTATTGAATCAAGAAAAATAAATTATTTTGCAACAAGCTCTGGATTTTCATTTAAATCAATGAATAGATTTATCACTAAAACTCAAGGAACACTTAACATTTTTTTTGAAAAAAGATGTTTTCAAGCATTTTTTGACAGATTTTTCCTGCAGTTTTAGTCTTTTCTTTAACTGCAACAAAACTTATTGCAGATTTGTTTGAGGTTGTTTAGTTCTAGTGGTCTCGTTGATACTGTCTGTTTCCTTGGTTAAATTAACCTCGGAGAGAAAACCAACCCACGGGTCGGGACGGTTTCTTTTAACAAATAGTCTCTTCTGCTCCGATAGGAGCTGTGTACCTCCGGGAGCAAATAGAGTTTAGGATTCCCATAAAATATTTCAAGAAGAGGATGACTCCCATAATATTGTTCAAGGATAGGACTCCCATGATATCGTCTAAGGATAGGACTCCCATGCAATATATTTCAAGAACAGGGCTCCCATATCATATTTCATGAATATGACTACTATAAAATATTTCAAGATTAGGACTCCTCCATAATATGTTTCAAGATTGGGACTCCAATAATACAGTTCAAGATCGGAACTCTCATAATATATTTCAAGAATAGGACTCCCATAATATATTACAAAGAATATGACTACCATATTATATTTCAAGAATAGGACTCCTATAATACATTTCAAGCTTAGAACTCCCGTAATATATTTTAAGAACTGGACTCCCATAATATATTTCAAGAATAGGACTCCCATTAAATATTAAGAATAGGACTCCTATAATACATTTCAAGCTTAGAACTCCCTTAATATATTTTAAGAACTGGACTCCCATAATATATTTCAAGAATAGGACTCCCATTAAATATTAAAAGAAAATGACTCCCAAAGTATATTTCAAGCTTAGGACTCCTGTAATTTATTTTAAGAACTGGACTCCCATGATATATTTCAAGAGTAGAACGTCCGTAATATATACCAAGATTAGGAGTCCTATTATATATTCAAAGAATAGGACTCCCATAGTATATGTCATGAATAAAACTCCCATGATATGTTCCAAGATTAGGAGTCCTATTATGTTTAAAGAATAGGACTCCCATAGTATATGTCATGAATAGAACTCCCATGATATGTTCCAAGATTAGGAGTCCTATTATATATTTAAAGAATAGGACTCCCATAGAATATGTCATGAAAAGAACTCCCATGATATTTTCATGATTTTCAAGATTAGGACTCCCACAATATAGTTTGGAATAGGACTCCCATTCCAAGATAAGGACTTCCATGATATATTTCAAACTTAGGACTCCAACATAATTATCCAAAAAAATATGTATTAATTAATCTTCTAACAAAAAATGTCATTTTGTAATTATTCCATCTACATATATCTACATATTTAGAATAAATATTCGATATAATTTTGTATTAAAGTTGGAGACATAAATAAAACTATACTATTTTTATTTTCTTCATGTAACAGCTGGCTGGCGCATTCAAAGTATTCTAAAATATCAAATATAAGGGGACTTGTAAATCCTGCACAGAATCTCCAAGGGGTTTATTAATCTTGCACAGAATCTCCAAGGGGTTTATTAATCCTGCACAGAATCTACAAGGGGTTTATTAATCTTGCACAGAATCTCTAAGGGGTTTATTAATCTTGAACAGAATCTCCAAGGGGTTTATTAATCCTGCATAGAATCTCCAAGGGGTTTATTAATCTTGCACAGAATCTCCAAGGGGTTTATTAATCCTGCACAGAATCTCCAAGGGGTGTATTAATCTTGCACAGAATCTCCAAGGGGTTTCTCAATCCTGCACAGAATCTCCAAGGGGTTTATTAATCCTGCACAGAATCTCCAAGGGGTTGATTAATCATGCACAGAATGTCCAAGGGGTTTATTACTCATGCACAGAATCTCCAAGGGGTTGATTAATCATGAACATTCTCTCCAAGGGGTTTATTAATCATGCACAGAATCTCCAAGGGTTTTATTAATTTATTGCACTATCCCGTTTTGCCTTATATAGTTTGTATGTGTACCGACCAGCTTGCTCTGATAAGATAAGATAAGGTTTAGTTAATTGTTAAAAATAAAAATAAATTATAATGTTACGGGCAAAAAGTCTGCAGCTTTTTTATATTGTTCTCCATATGCACGAATTAGAGCAATTAGGTTGAGGGAGTTTAACTGTTTTGGGTATTATATCCACCTAATTAACCCATTAATACCGACCAGCTCACCTGTCGACAAATTACATGAAATTTTTAGTAGAGCTTCCTTAGGGGTCTTTAAGAAATTTATGTTTCCAAACTTTTTTGCTAAAATGCATAGCAAAAAAACTTTCATTTTGCGTCTATATTGACGCATTCGGATTAACCTATTATGGCACATGTCTATATAGTGCACAGTGTACAGCCTAGAGTGTACATTGTTCAGTGTACTCTGTACAGTGTGTAGAGTAAAGTGTATAGTATATAGTTTGATATGTGCAGTGTAAAGTGTTGAGTGTGCAATGTACAGCAAGTGAAGTGTGCAGTATACGGATTTCAGTGTGTAGTATAAAGATTGCAGTGTTCAGAATAAAGATTGCAGTGTTAAGAATAAAGATTGTCGTGTTCAGAATAAAGATTGCAGTGTTCAGAATAAAGATTGCAGTGTGCATTGTTCAGTGTGCAGTGTGCAATGTGCAGTTTAGAGTGCACATTTTTCAGTTTGTACAGTGTGAAATGTAAAGTGTGGAGTGGGGCAGTGTACAGTGGAAAGTGTGCAGTATGCACTTCAGAGTGTGCAGTGTGCAGCGTGCAATATACAGTCTGGAGTATACAATGTTCAGTGTACAATGCACATTTTTCAGTAAGTACAGTGTTAAATGTATTGTGTGCAGTTTGCAGTGTGCAGTATGCACTTCAGAGTGTGCAATGTGCAGTATGTAGTAAGTAGTGTATATTGTTATACATTTGTGTGCAGTGTGCAGTGTGCAGAAGAAGAAGAAGAAGAAGAAGAAGAAGAAGAAGAAGAAGAAGAAGAAGAAGAAGAAGACTAAAACTGTTTAAGAAATCAAATCTTAGAATTTCAAATCTTTCTGAACAAACTCTTGTATTTTAACTTAATACCGTTTTTTTCCTCTGTAAGCTTCCTTTTTTCATAGGGAAAGGAAAGCGGACGCCACCCTCTGAGCTTACTGGGGTGGGTGGCCACCCGACGCCCCCCCCCAGTTGCATCTCTGCAATAGAAACATGTTAGATTTATCAAATATTCCATATAAATGCACCAAACAATATCTATTTTATCGAGATGACAATAAATTTTAAAGATTTAGATGCAACAATATATGTTTATTGTTTATACCTTGGGGATCTTCATTTTTCGCTTTCAATAATAGGTTTTTAATTTTAAATTATCTAATTAAATAACTTAAACCGTGGCCAGATTTCATGAATAGCGAGTAATCGCTGAATCACGCAGATGTAGTTCAGCCGCTATTCACAAAAGCTAAAGTGGAAGAACCCCGTCTTCACAGTTCACCCGTCTCCCTATTCATTAGATCTAGTTTTTTTTGTCGGGGATTAAAAAAAATACTTAAAATTTATACTTTTTATCGAACCATGTTTAATGTTAGTCGCGTTTATGACTCTAGAGATCTTTTTATACCCTATGCTGTTTGACCCTAGGCCTTTTTTCCCTAGGCCTTTTTTCCCTAAGTCAATGAATCCTTTGCCATGATCTATAAAAGAAAAAAATATATTTACAGGAACAATGGTTTCATAAGAATCTAATGAATGAATATTTAAATCTAAAAAATTCTGGTTTATTTAAACCTTCACATCAGATTCCAAGAAGTGTGGCGACCAAACTAATAAAATTATAAATGGTTCTTTGTTGACGATTTAGTTCTGCTTAAAACTGCAGTTTTACAGGTTTTGATTCAGTAACATGGGAATTCTAAACAAACAGTTAAAATACTAAATTTTTTTAAAAATTAAAGGGTCTGAAGAGCTATTATTACTGATCCTACATTTGTAGAATGGCACTAGGGTTTCCAACGCTAGTGGATTTTACATTAAATAGCGCAATTTCAAGCCCTGTGATTCTGCAATTCTCATTCGTTTATAGTGGGCCAAACAATTAAAACAACCTACGCTGGTTAGGCGGGTCCAAACTACATATTAAATTGTGATTTTTTTATTTGTATTATCGTGCTTTGTAGTTGAATAAAAATATGAAAATAAAAATATGAAATATGAAGCCTAGACTCTAAATTTAAATTCATCGCTCTAAGCCTGGACTGATTACACTAAACCTTAATTCAGTGCTCTAAACCTGGACTGATTACACTAAACCTATATTCAATGCCCTAAACCTGGACTGATTGCACTAAACCTAGGAATATCTGGACTCGAAACCTATATCCGGCTCTTCAAAACTGACTTAACTACTTTCAACCTATTTTCGGTAGTCGAAACCTAAAATTAGCACTCTACCTCTAATTTGGCGCTTTTGTACAGTATTCAAATATTAATTAAAAAGTATTAAGTTAAAGTATAGAAATATAAATATATTCCAAAAGAATAAATTTTGGAATATTTTCCGGGAATAATACAAGTTTAATCCTAGTTTAAGATTAATGTTTGAATTCTTGTTATTTCAAGAATATCTGAATATTAAGGTGGGACCTGGTGTAACACCTGAAAACGGAAATGGGCGGGAGTAAAGGGAGTATAGGGAACCACCAACCATTCATTTATTACAAATCTATTCCTTCCTTCAACCCTTAACAAATAAATAATTTTTCCCCTGTTTTTCTGAACGATCCCAGGAATATGTAATTTCCAAGGAGTATGGATTAACTTGGAACAGGAATCGACCCGTTCCGCCTCATTATATGATTTGATTCATTTTTTGTGAACCGGTACACCATTTTGAATTAAAGAAAATTAAATTTTTGTGCAAAATTTTTATCTAGACTATTTCTATCAGACCGTCAATAAAACATGTATTAACCATTTAATGCTTGGATTTGACGGAACGGGTCGATTCCTGCTCCATGATATTATATACTCCTTGGATGGGACGGAACGGGTCATTTCCTGCTCCCTGGTATTCTATACTCCGTGGTATTTCCTAAATTTAATTTATTGTTTACAGTTTATATATAGGATGGTTCACTACCCAGTTGGTCAACGTCCTTAGAATGGAAACATTGAGGTGAATAAATAATCTCAAGGTTAACTCCTCTCTCCAATGTTACAGATCAATAAGAATGAATATCGAGATATTAAAACTTTATTCAGTGTTACCCAAAAAGGATGAGATTTCAGAGACGACTTTCCATACAATTGTAACTTTGTTTTTTCTCTGCTAAATCATCTAGTACAGAGTGTCCCATATCATATTAGATTATCTCCAAGTTTTAAGGCCAAAATAAAACCATAATACTGCAAAAAACTAGTATTTTCCGCAAGAAAAAATCTTATATTAGCCTTATTTAATTTTTAAAAATGATTCATTCTTCTTAAATTTTCTGATTAGTCCCGAAAATCGTAATTTAGACCAATTGACGATCAAATATGATATGGGACACCCTGTATTTCAATAAAATATATTTATCATTTATATTTGTCTAAAGCAAAATTACATTAAACAATATAAAAGTTTACAAACTAATACTCTTTTCTCTGGATATCGCATTTTATAATTGACAGGGTTTGCCAAAAAACAGGCGCAATACAAGACTTTTAGCATGAGTATAGTTTAGCTATTCAGAGGTGGTTTTCAGAAAAGGGGTTTCTTGGTCCCAGTCTAGTGTTTTTCGTTTTCTAAAAATGTGGTAAGATGACAGTACAGCAAGGCTTGATAGATTTTCACACATTGCTTTGAAACTAACACTGGGTTTGCAGAACTTATGCAGTTTCTTTAGAATCGCCTTATTTGATGGTGAGATATATCCTCTTGAGCCGATTTCAAAAGGATGAACAGACACATCCCTAGTTGTTATATCTGTAATAAAATGTTCATACTTGTTCATCTTTTGAGCGTTGGCATTTTTGATATTTGTTTCCAATGGGACAGTAAGCTCAAAAATATCCATCTTTTCCTCC